CCCCCCCCCCCCCCCACACACACACACACACACACACACACGCACACGCACGGTCTTGTATTTCTGACTTTGTGGGGACTTTGTATTGACTTCCATTCATTTCTATAGCCTAACCCTTACCTTAAACCTAACCCCTAACCTATCAACGAGACGTATCCTTATGGGGCCCAGTCTTTGGTTCCGACAAGGAGCAGTTAGTCCCCACAATGTCACCTGAAACAAAACCGCACGCACGCACACGCGTGCACATATACACACACACACACATACACACACACACACACACACACACATACACACACTGTATTATTCAATGACAAACACAAATCAACACTCACTTATACTAAGATACACCTTGTGTTCGTGAGAGAACATGGAGCTGATATTTAACACTTGGAGGGCATTATACAATAAATAATACAATACTGAATAGAGCTCAGCCTACATATAGGCAAATAAGTCCCCCCCCCCCCCCAATTCATACACATACAAACACAGGCACACACTCTACAGACACACACTCCCATGCAATAAAAGCAGCCGATGCGCCATGCTGCGTTCGCAGTATGAGTGCTCAGTATATTCTTCTGTAGAAGCTGGGGCTGGTGGGGGTGGTGCTGACTCGGTGGAGGGTTTTGTCCGGGGTGGTGATGGTTCCAGGGACTGATACAGTAGTGAACCTGCTAAGCAGACCTATATCACAGGCGAGCAACGAGTGCACGTACACATACACCACGAGACATGTACCACACTGTACAGAGAGAGCTGGACGAGAGATAGACGTCTTCACCTGGCAGGAAACTGAGATTCACAGGGGGGACAAGGACCTGCGTGTCTTCAGGAAGGAGGGATGTGGACTGCAGGGGGGAGGGGGTGGATGAAAGGGAGGAGGTCACCCCTCCAGCTGATTATGGAGGGGCTTGTCTTGTTGGAGATGGTGGTGGCCGTCGACTATGAAGGGAAGCCAACGATGACGTTCCAGAGGAGGAAAAGTGGAAGAGAAAAACAAATAAATAAATAAAGACAAGAGAGAAATAAACAAAATCTCGTTTAGCTTTCATACAAGTTTAAACAAAAATACAATCAGGTCATAAATTACATAAAAGACGTGACTGTGTCTGGGTGTTTGTGTTTTAGTTAACTGATGTTCTCGTGAAATAAAAATAACTGGAACTAAAGTGTATCATTGTTGTGGTCACAATGCCAGCTTGTTTCATCAATTTCATTGCTGACCAGAATGTCAAGCAGGGCTGGCCATGCCGACCTCATGCCTCTGAGCCCATCACACCATGCTGACACACCTCCAACGAGTTAATGCAACGCTCTTGGTGGCACAGCCGTTGTGCGTGAGGCATCAACGTGTGCACCATTTTATAATTAACGTGCTCCACAGGTCAGTAAGCACACTCACATGGACCTCATTCACCTTTCAGGTGCAAAGCGAGAAGCACTTGTTCTCAGGATCCTTAAGTTTTTGTCTTGTGATTGTTTTTAGTTTCTTTGGGTCTGCTTCTATTTGTGTTCAGCTTTGCCTAGTGTTTTGTCCCCATGTAGTCAGCTCCAGCTCCTGCCACTCTCGCCTGTTCCTCGTTGTCTTTCTCCGGGTGTTCGTCATTATCTGTCATAGTGTCTCTTTAAGTTCAGCTTCTTTGTGTTTCCTGGCTGTCAGTGGATTGTGCTCCCCACAGCCATCATGCTCTGTTCCTCTGTTCAGACATGCTCCCTGATTATGTAAGTTTAATTGCCACATCAGCCTTTGTTTCTGCATTTATTTAATAAATGTATCAGTTCACCCTCGAGCTTCCCTGAATCTGTCTGCACCCTGTGTTCTACTGGATGAAGAAAGTAGAAGGCTGAACCTGGTTCAGGTTCTGCTCAGAAAGCTCCCTTCATCTGCAATATTTCATGCTGCTAAATGGTGTCTCCAGACTGAAACTGAACCAAGGCCCAGATACAAAGGAATAGTCTGCACTTTGTGACTACGTCTTAGAAACATGATACTGTGTCATCATCTTGTGTAGCTCAATCCTGACACAGTATAAGACAGTCCAGGATTGGGTCCAGGGTGGGGCTGAGGGTGGGGTCCAAAGTGGGGCTAAAGGTGGAGTCCAGGATGTGGCTGGAGTAGGACATATGGAGGTACCTTGAGTGGAGCCTATGGTGGGCCCCAGGGTGAGGCCCAAAGTGGGACCCAAGGTGGGCTCAGTGTGAGGCCCAGGGTGGGGCCTAAAGTTGGCTCCAAAATCAGGCCAAGGGTGGAGACCCTGGTGGGACCTAGGGTAGGGCCTAGGTTGAGGACAAGAATGTGGCCAGGGTGTGGATGTGGCTGTTTTAGGCTGGTTCAGCTGTTCTTGAACTGTGAGAATCATCAGTCCTGCTTCTCATTGTTCAAGTATGAGTTTGATTGACAAATGTTTTTTTTTACAACTTTTTACTGCATTTGTAACTTTTAACGTTAAAAGTTACAAATGCAGTCTTTGGTGCCTGTCTGTCTTCCAAATATATTAGTGTGGGTGAATGACAGGCAATCAACCTAAAACACTTTGTAGAACGGTGCTTTATGAATTTCTGTCCATTTCCTTGCATTAAATGACCGGCAGTTTCACCACATTTAAAATGGCGTCGACATATGATTCAGCCCTCAATGGGGCGTCTACGTATATACGTATGTCTGTGCTGACACCTGCCAGCCATTGCAGTGGAGAAGTTGGAGTGGCAGAGAGCGGAGTTCATGACATGCTGTCTTGTAGTCTTTTAAAGCATTTAGAGTTTAGAAACATTGTTTAGAAAATTGCAAGAGAGTGGGAAGGATTTAAAACTGCTTCATATATATATATATATATAAATATAAAAAAATATATATGTAATATATAAGTATATATATAAATATACTTATATATTATATATATTTTTTCATATTTATATACATATATATATATATATATATATATAAATATATATATATATATATATATATATATATATATATATAAATTTAAAATAAACTATTACTTACTATCACTACTATTACTTATTCTACTATTCCTACTTCGCGGTTTTTCACTTATCGTGTGGGGGTTGGGAACGGAACCCCTGCAATAAACAAGGGACTACTGTACTAAAATAAACTACTACTTACTAATACTACTTGTGTACATAATTTTGTTCAAACAGCTCATGTACCACATGAGATGGTAATGACAATAAAGCTTACTGTACTTGAACTTGAACTACTTTATATCTACTTAATGGTTTTTCACATATCACAGGGTGGCAGGGTACCAACATAGCCTCAGAAATCAAAATGTTCCACTGTTCCACAACCAGGACCTACACCACGATAAACGAGGAACTACTGTACTTCAAAATTCGTCAATACTGTATTATAATTTTAAATGTTTAGCTACTGATGAATTTGAAGTAAACTCTAGCTTTTAAAGCAGCTGACTGTTAAATCATGCAGCAATCAGCATTCACACAACATTTTTGCAGGAAATGCTATTTCTCTAGTACTTTGTAAAAACAAAAGTTCATATTTAGTTTTTAAGCCAGTTGTAACAATATATGAATGAAACTCCACTGTGTGGTTGTGTAACTTCATTGTTAGATGTCTTCCTTTAAAAAGCAGTCAGGCTGTTTATATGATGTGTGGGTTGGAGTACGTCCACTAATTTATGGCCAGATGAAGAGTTTGTTTAAAGAGGCTTTGATTTAATTCAGTTTAACTGAAAGTCCATTACATAATGTAAATTTACTCATGGGCGACTGTGGCTGAGTGGTTAGAGCAGTCGTCCTCCAATGCAAGAGTTGGGGGTTCGAACCCCACAGCAGTCACATGCCGAAGTGTCCCTGGGCAAGACAATGAACCCCTCATAGCCTCTGATGTGTGTCCCATCGGTGTATGAATATGATAAATCACTGATTAGTCTCTTTAGAATGATTTGTTCAATTAGCTTTGTAGAGATCTAGTAGAGTGCTGTATGAATGGGTAAATGAGGCACAGATTGTAGTGTAAAGCACTTTGAGTATCTCAATAAGATAGAAAGGTGCTATATAAGTACAGTCCATAATGTTTCTTGATAAATATGAAAAATATGAAATTATGTTTGCTTTCATATTTTAAAATAATTACAGCTTTCAGATAAAATACTATTGATTAAATGGATATGAAATCATGCCTTTATGTAAATGTCATGGAGCCCTCACCTGGGGATGCTAGGGGGGGCCCTGTTTGGGCGACTGGGAGCCTGGGGGCTCTCAGCACTGTTATTGAAGGGTCCCAAGGGTCCTGGACGGTTTGGTGGTGGAGGAGCCCCTCGGGCAGCTGGTCGTTGGCCTGAAGACATCCTTCTGGGCGCTGTGGGGCTAGGAGGAGGAGACCTGGACAGCCAGAATGTGTGTTCAAATATCATATAAGGAATGAATAAATAAAAGTTGTATCTGTACAGTCACAGTGTTCATTTCTAACATCAACAACCTGTTTAAATTCCCTGCTAACATACCTGCGACCCCCGCTGGACCCTCCTACCCAGGAGGTGTCGACAGGTGGAGGCAGGGGGACAGTGATAGTGGTAGTGGAGATGTCACCAATTATTGCCAGGGCTTCTTTTAAGGCCTGGTGAGTCCTCAGCACCTCATCTCTCCTCTGGGCCTGCTCCTGGGACTCATCCATCAGGGCGTTTTGGTCCCCTGCAGAGTACAGGCAGGCCAACAGTTCTGCATTGATGAAGTCTTTCACCTGTTGACAAAAAAACAGGGAAAGACACCATGTACAAACTGTGGCAGTAAATCACAAAAAAAGTTAAATCGTCATCTGGACAGTTTCTTTTTAGGAAGAAATGTTTAGTCTTTTATCCGAAAGACTTCATCAGTCTGAGGCCTGCCAACAGGATCTGTCGAAGTAGCACCTTACTGATGTGTTTCAAACCAGTCTGATGTGGAGTTAAAGAAAATGTTCTTGTTTGATGGTACATAATTAGCACCAACCGTGTATATTTAAACACAACTCAGTGACAGCCAGAGGAAAGCTGATATACTTTATGTGGGCAACTTGAAGGAAAGTAAGAATGTTTTCCACAACTCTTCTCTATATCTCTAAACTCCTCAGACTGTTTGTCCACAGAGCTGAGTCTGTCTGTCTGTCTATCTGTTTATCTGTCTGTCTGTCTACAGGGCAGAGTCCAGTTACTCTGTGGAAGAAGTTTATTTTAGCAGTTTGGATTTGTGACCTAATTCTTTTGGTCAGTAGCCATAAGTCGTGACCCTGGGTGAGGGTTGGAAGGTAGACTGATCAGGAAATTGAGAGCCTTTCCTTTCAGCAGCATCACTGCAGATACTGTCTCCATCCTCCAGGTAATTTCCTGATCCATCCTATCCTCACTTGTGAACAAGAGATTGAAACCCTTGAACTCCTCTACTTGGGACAGTAGCTCATTCATAACTAGAAGTTGATGATTCACTTTTTCCCACATATGGCATCAGACTTGGAAGTGCTGATCATCACTCCAGCCACATCACATTCGACTGCAAACCAACCCAGTGCCTGCTGAAGGTTCCAGCTCAATGAGGCCAACAGAACCACATCATCCACAACAAACAGCAATGCAATCCAAAGTCCCAATGAACAAGAAACCCTCTGCCCCTTGGCTGGGCATAGAAATTCTGTTTATTAAGGTTATGAACAAAATCAATGTCACAAGGTAACTCTGGAGTGGTTCAACACATAATGGAAACGTATTTGACTTATAACAAATCAAACTCTCACTTTAGTTGGTTAATAGCCAGTTGGCCCATAGACAGGAGCTGATAACCCTTAAAAGTACCCTCCACAGGGTAACACATGAGATGAATTTTAATTAAGTCAATAAAACACATGAAGACTTGGGCAAATGCCAACATAGCCTCAGAAATCAAAATGTTCCACTGTTCCACAACCAGGACCTACACCACAATGTCCCTCCTGAATCTGACTGCCATTCAGAGTCATCTCTGCAGCACCTTCACATAGACCAGAGATGTCCAATCCTGGTCCTGGAGGACAAATTATCCTGCATGTTTTAGATGTCTCTGCTTTGACACACCTGATCTAAATTAATGAGTGATTATAAGGCTTCTGCAGAACCTGAAGACCTGCTGAAGAGCAGGGAAACAAAGAAAACATGCAGGATAGTGACCCACCAGGAACAGGACTGGGCACCACTGGCATATACCTTCCCAGGGAGGAAAAACTGTATTTTGTAATGTGAATGTGTTGAAATGCTCCAAGTATGAGTGAAACCAGCTTTGACTACTCTACAAGTTTCACAGGGTCACAGGGGCAGCTGTGGCTGAATGGTTAAAGCAGCTGTCCTCCAGTGCAAGAGTTGGGGGTTCAATTACACCAGCAGTCACATGCCAAAGTGTCCCTGGGCAAGACACTGAACCCTTCATTGCCTCCGGTGTGTGTCCCATCGGTATATCCATCCATCCATTATCTTTACCCGTTTGTTCCATTTTGGGTCACGGGGGTCGCTGGTGCCCATGCAGCAATCACTGTGCAAGGGGCGGGGTACACCCTGGACGGGTCGCAAGTCCATCGCAGGGCCACATAGAGACAAATAACCATTCACTCTCTCACTCACACCTAGGGACAATTTAGAGTTACCAATCAGCCTAACATGCATGTTTTTGGTCTGTGGGAGGAAACCGGAGTATCCGGAGAAAACCCACGCATGCACGGAGAGAACATGCAAACTCAACCCAGAAAGGCCCCTGGACCAGGGTTAGAACCAGGGACCTGCTCGCTGAGAGGCAGCAGCTCTACCAGTTGCGCCACCGTGCTGCCCCCCATCGATATATGAATGTGATAAAGCTCTGATTAATCTTTGTAAAGACATAATAGAGTGCTGTATGAATGGGTAAATGAGGGCACATATTGTAAAGAGCTTTGAGTATTTTAAAAAGATAGAAATGCACTATATAAGAGCAAGTGGCATTAGAAGCAAGAGTTTCAAGATTTTACAAGTTTATTGCTGACCTCAATGTTTATTTTTACAAATTCAATAAAAATTATCAAGACAATTAATAAATTTTTCAGTTTGTACTTGTAAACTACAGAGTCAAATTTATGACAAAATGCATATTACCAAAAATAGTAGGAGTTATTGTAACTAAGCTTTTTTTGAAAATGGAGCTTGTCTCTTACATTATTGATCATTAGATGCATGATGGTCTTAGGGATCAGGTCCCGAATGCACTTGTTGACGATGGCCATGTACGAGTCCACAAGGTTACGGATGGTTTCAACTTTACGCTCCAGCTGGGGGTCCATGGAGAAGTTGTCTGTGGTGCTGGTTGTCTCACTCTCAACCTGTATAGGTTCACACATTTTCATTAGACATTTTCTTTGTAAATAGAGTAAAAGGATAAGCTTCAATTAAAATAAATGCTGTTGTACATTTTGTATAAAAGTTATTTGAACTCTAAATGCTGTAAATGTGATTATAAAGAGTGGGCGAAAAATATACGTCACATTTTTTTGTTTAAACTTTCTATGGTGTGTTCAAATTATATATAACAATAATGGAGCAGCTGTGGCTGAGTGCTTAAAGCAGTTGTCCTCCAATGGGAGAGTTGGGGGTTTGATTCCACAAGCAGTCACATGCTGAAGTGTCCCTGGGCAAGACACTAAACCCCTGACTGTCTCTGATATGTGTCCCGCTGGTGTATGAATGTGATCCAAAGCACTGATTATTCTTTGTATAGATCTAGTAGAGTGCTGTATGAATGGGTAAATGAGGACACAGGTTGTAGAGTAAAGCACTTTGAGTATCTTAATAAGATAGAAAGGTGCCATATAAGTACAGTCTATTTACCAGAAATTATTCTGGAGTGATGGTTCCCCAATCTGTTTGTTTTGACACACAAATTAAGACACTTGAGATTTGAGAAAGTGACTGTTGTTGAATAAATTATAAACTTTGCTAACAAAAAGCAACATCAGCTGATAGTGTTTTTACCCAGCTTTGACTACTAATTTTGTAACACTTAGGGATGTGGTTGATAAACATTTAAAGCTAAAATTATAATTTTTAGATTTTCTTAAGACCCCAGTTGGTGTTTCACGACCCACAATAAGGCCCTGAGCCTGAGTTTGGGAACCACTGGGCAGCAAGCGACAGTGCCATTAGAACCAGTGTCGGAATGAGAGCAGCTGTTCTTGTTGAACATGAGCTGAAGGACGTGACAAACCGTGGCAGTCTTCTCAGGGTAGACCCCGGCACGGAGCAAAGAGGATTTCCAGCTGTCCACGTCATCTTGAGAGTCACAGGCCAGCTCTAGGGTGCGATTGTCCTTATACACGTTCCTGAACAAAAAAAACCCACAAACTTTTCTTTAACAAACACTAAGAAGGCAGGTGTATCCACCTACATATGTAGAAGCTAGGTGTAACAACCTACATATGTAGAAGCCAGGTGTATCTACCAACATATGTAGAAGTCAGGTGTACCTACCAACATATGTAGAAGGCAGGTGTACCTACCAACATATGTAGAAGGCAGGTGTATCTACCAACATATGTAGAAGGCAGGTATATCTACCAACATATGTAGAAGCCAGGTGTATCTATCAACATATGTA